GTATGTACAGGGTGGTTCAAATTCGATGTCCGAATAGGCTAACTCGAAAACTATAAGAGTTAGAAGAAAAGTAACTGACATGTCATGATCTCGTTTTTCGAGAAACTGCTAATGCCGAAAACCTCATAGCGCTACCGCCTTTTGTTTTTCCGCTAGAGGCCAAAATTGAAAATATCGTAAAACCCGCAAATGTAATTATCTTGGTTATTATTATAGGTGGAGTATTATAACTAAGACATTATATGGACACTTTTTTACAGAGAATTTGATGACGTAGTCAAAAAAGTTTTGTCGGTTTTAGATTTTGTAACATTATCACAATTTTCGTTTTTTTTAATGGAAACAACCACTGATTATTTGCTTAATAAATTCGTTATTTTTTTTTGATTACAAAAACATAGGGTTTGACAGGTCTATTTCTTATTGTTTTAGAATAAAACTAAAAATAAACTTTTTTTTAGTGTCGTCAAAGAAATTAAATTTACAGTTTCCTGTAAATTATGGTTCTATAACGAAAAATTAAAAAAAACATATTTCTGATATTTGAAACAAATATATTTGTTGAACTGTTTAATTTATATATGTTTTACACAAAAGTTGGAATAGATTGCATTATTTCACATTGTTTATTACGATTTAATATTATTTTTAAATGACTTAATAAATTATCGATAGATGGCGCTCATGTTTTTTTTTGAATTCAAATAAACATAGCAACATTTGTTTGTATTCAAAAATTTTCTGAAGTGTCACTTTAAAAATCCTGTTTTAAGATGAATTGCGAAAATTTTGAAAAGTTTGACATGTTAGAATGTTACACATTAAAAAATGTTTTGTTTTTAAATACCAGAAGTTATTTTCTTATTTAGTTGTTAACTTCTTAGATTTTACCTACCGCCCCGTAACTTACAGGAAACTGTAAATTTAATTTCGTCGACGACACTAGATGGAAATTTTATAAAAAAAGTTTATTTTTAGCTTTATTCTAAAACAATAAGAAATAGACCTGTCGAACCCTATATTTTTGTAATCAGAAAAAAATAACGAATTTAATAAGCGAATAATCATTGGTTGTTTCCATTTAAAAAAACGAAAATTCTCATGATATCTCAAAATCTAAAACCGAAAAATTTGTTTCGACTATGTCATCAAATTCTCTGTAAAAAAATTTCCATATAATGTCGTAGTTATAATACTCCACCTATAATAATAACCAAGATAATTGCACTTATTGGTTTTACGATATTTTCAATTTTGGCCTCTAGGGGAAAAACAAAAGACGATAGCGCTATGAGGTTTTCGGCATTAGCAGTTTCTCGAAAAACGAGATCATGACATGTAAGCTACTTTTTTTCTAAATCTTATAGTTTCCGAGTTAGTCTATTCGGACATCGAATTTGAACCACCCTGTACAGGGTGTTTCGGTGACTCGGGGAACAAATGTAACCTAGTATACTAGAGTGAAAATGATGACGAAGCATGTAAAAAAAAAATTAGTAAAAGTCTTCAAATTTCAAAGATACAGGCCATCAAAGTTATGAAATTTTAACACATTTTTCTAAATATCTTAAACGCTATTTATGGTAAAGCGTTGAAATTTGGTACAGTGTAAACTAATATCACGTAAAATCATTAGGCAATTGTTGAGTTGGATCGGTACACGGGAACAGTGCTATACAGGCTGTTCCTAAACTTTGTTTGCTCAGAACTTTTTTATTCTATCATAACCCTACATTTATTTTTGCAGTTTCTGATAGTAAATTTAGTTTAGAATCTTTTATCACTCTTAGAGAATATTGATAAAAACTACCGTTTTCGTATTAAATGCAAAAATGTTAGGCTCCGAATTCAATAACATTAAAAAAAAGAAATAAATAAATAATCTGAATTGGCAATGACAAGTGAAAATCGAACTGAGCTGTCATAACTATTATGTATGCAACATGTCCAAGTGTAGATTTTGCTAAATCACATTTTTAATTTGTTTTAGATGGTTCAACAAAAAATAAACAAAAAAACCACAACAGGAATAATAAAAGCATACATAAAATAACAAGACAAGTAATAAAAAATACTAAAGGAAATGTTCAAAAACTTAGATTTATTTTTTTTTAGTACTATTATTGAAATCGGAACCCAACATTTTTGCATTTAACACAAAACCGGTGATTTTTATCAATATTATCTAAGAGTAATAAAAGTTTCTAAACTAAATTTACTATTAGAAACTGTAAAAATGAATGTAGGGTTATGATAGAATAAAAAAGTTCTGAGCAAACAAACTTTAGGAACAGCCTGTATAGTATTGTTCCCGCGGTCCGATCCAACTCATAAATCGCCTAACGATTTTACATCACATTGATTTATACTGTACCAAATTTCAGCGCTTTACTGTAAATAGTGTTTAAGATATTTGGAAAAATGTGTTAAAATTTCTTAACTTTGATGGCCTGTATCTTTTAAATTTGAAGACTTTTACTAATTTTTTTTACATGAATCGTCATCGTTTTCACTCTAGTATATGTGGTTAAATTTGTTCCCCGAGTCACCGAAACACCCTGTATAAATATATCTCAGTGTGGGTGGGACACAGAGATATTTAGTTTTTAATACATAATATAATAATAAAAATAGTGTATTTTTGTTTGCTGATCGAATAGTTGGATTATTCATTTGTTGATTTATTACTTTTCTTTTTAGGTTTGCATTTTGCTGTGTTTTTAGGAAGTTTGCAAAATTAATGTCCGTGTAACCAGAAAAAACTTCCTTTCCCTAGTTTAAACGTAAAACACACCTAGAACAATTTGAATCAGTAAAGTTTAAGTTATTTTAGATCATTATATGTTTTTTAATTGTTATTGTGTAATTTAAAACCGTTGACGCAAAAATTACTGACTAAAAACCTCCAAAAATTTCAATTTTCAAAGAGTAAAGTGTCCTTTATAGAGTTGTACTTGTGAAAATAATGGCTGTTCCAGATTGCGTTAGATGTAATAAGTATGTATATATTTGTAATATGGAATTGAAAATAAAAAAACTATGGTCACACCAATCAACTAGACATTTTGGCAGCCAAACCTATTATTAGTTATAACTTCGTAATGCTGTATCCCATAATTTTCATTTTCTAGAACAATAACTAGAACAACCCAGAACAACAAAGAAAATCTGATATTTCCAAAAATGGGGGGCTAGCCGAAAAATCTGTTTTTTTAGTTTTTCTCGTCGAGTGTTTAATTTTTCTATTTTCCACTTTGGAACAATATAGAACTAGTTTTACTTGTTATTTAGTGCTAGATTGTTGTATATTTTTCATTGAACTAAATCTAGAACTAACCCTAGATCAAGAATAAGAATCATTCGGCTTTAGCCGTCTTATGAGACGCACGGCTAAACCCGAATGTTTCTAGTTCTAGGTCTTATGTTACTTCTAGTGACAGTGTAAGTGTAAAACTAGAACTAACACTATACCTAGAACTAGAATCATTCGGGTTTAGCCGTCTTGAGAGACGTGTGGCTAAACCCAAATGATTCTAGTTCTAGGTCTAGTGTTAGTTCTAGTTTTACTTGTTATTTAGTTGCTAGATTGTTGTAGATTTTTATTGAACTAAAACTATAACAAACTAATAATATTTTACTATAATAATAAATTATGAAGCTTTATGTGCAGTGTAATTGAAAAAATCCAACCACCGAAATTTTTTTGTTCCCTCCTCGAATTTACACAGTGTTTAATTAATTATATCACTATATAATTTATAAATTAACGTTCAACGCTGTTTTTAGGGTTGAAATATAAAGGGAACTTGAACTCGAGTAACACAATACTATAGTATTGCGGTCGAAATTGTTTGACTGCTAAATTCAAATAAATATTTGTACCGAGCAGACTGCAGGCTCGGTAGAATAAATTTACATCAAAAGCTTGTAAAGAAATAAGAGGAAGTTAAATTAATTTGGTTCGTTTGCAAAACAATTTCACGGTTTCCTTTTCACAGTTCTATTTTAACATATAAATCATCACACACGGATAATGTATGCATATTGAAAACGAAAAGAAATAAAGTAGAGCTAATATTTCGATTTGATTCAAAGTTACCACAAGCACTAATGAACTTAGAAATACTTCCGAACGTGGTCGGAACCTCTTTAGATCTTAGTTCTCGTGAAACTTAATTTAAAGCAGTTAAAGCCAATCACGAACTGTTAGGAGAAATCAGTCCATTCCCTGCACATTGCTGTGCTAATAATATTGAGAACGCCATGCAAGAATTATTAAATTACATCTAGTTCCCATAATACGTTATAATCAGCGTTGATTAGGTATTCGATTTAGGGAATTTGGATACTAATTCGAGATTAAAGTAAAATATGTAATACAATACGAAAGCTTCTGTGTTTATGCACGGTGTAATACATAACTCGTTCATCACATGCAAATTGAGCAAATGTATGCTGCGTGACCACCACGTATTCAGTAATTATAACTATTGCTTTGATTGTTGATGTACAACCGTTGCGTAACAATTATATACGAGAGGTATAGTGTATTGCTTTGTACTTCTAAAATTGAATTGTTATTAGTGTTGAATTTAATCCTGTATACGAAATGTCAGGACAAGTGTATTAATTTAATTCTAACTCACCATTAATTGTCTTAATTCCAGATCAAACAACACGTTTCTCATTATCGATAGATACAAGTACGTCTTGTCAATCACGTTATATCATATTAATTATATAAAGGGATGTATCAATATAGTGACTAATCTGTTATACATAAATATTGACTTTCTTTATATTTGGTAATTCGATATTCCGGCGCTTAAGATAGCTTAACGAGAGGTTATCATTTTGCGCGAGATATTTGGCACGTGAGTATTTTATTATTAATATGTTAAAAAAAAATTATTACAAGGTTTTTACAATTTTGTATGTAATGATTAAAGTAGCTAGATTAATTTAAAGTAAGAAAATTGAAGAAATTTTTAATTACTTACCGATCTAAACTTATGCAAACCAATATGAAGCTGGATAGACACAAACCAAACATTCTAAAAAACATCATTATTCTGCACATGAGGTCCCCAGCTTCCCATTGTACGGTATATGACCAAGCGATTTCTAAAGGCATCATTATAAATGTTACCTGTAAAAGAAAAGAAAATAAAAATTTGTGCAAAATATTGTATCAAATATGCCTTAACGGTTAAGGCAGATTTTTGACTGAATGGACTGAACAATATTGTTTTACGCTGCCTGAGAGGCCTCAAGCGGTTCCAGTTTGCTTAATATGTAATAAAACTGTCGCTGTTATTAAAAGTTGCAATTTAAAGCGACACTATGAAACAACCCATCAGCAATTCCACAAAAACTTTCCTCTTGGCAGTGAGGCTCGTAAAGAAAAACTACAGGTAATATAATTCTATTAAATAATGTATAAATGTGATATGTATAACTGCTTTGTAAACTTATTACGATAAAATTTTAATTACAGGAATATCTCACGTCCTATGATAAAAGCACGAAATTGCTTGTTCGCTGCATGAGTGAGCAAGAAAAATCGGCAGAAGCAGCGTTACGTGTGTGTTGGACACTTAGTAAACACCAAAAACCATTTTCAGATTCAGAAATAATGAAAGAATGTATGTTGGAAGTAGCCTCGGCACTTTTTGGAGAAAAAGAGGATGTAGTCACTGCAATTCAAAGTATTCCAATGTCGGCAATCTGGCCACTATGTTACATACTTCGCATTTGCTGTACCCCTCGTACACCGAACTTTAAAAAACTGGCCCAAGACCGTCGTTGTAATTTCTCACATTGAATATATTACAATATTAACTGAGAATTACTTGTTTTACTTTGTTTACCCTTTTTTTGGAAACTAACTCGATTTGAAAACAAAATAAAAAACAGTACCTTTTAATTATTAGATTTTTTCTGGACCTCCATAAAAAATTTTACACCGAATCCGGACCCCACTGAAAACTACTTGCCGACCCTTGCCTTAACCCATGCTTGCCGCTTTTCAACATAGCTTTTACATTCAAAAAAATATAAAAAGAACGTCTAAGCTTTTTATATTTTTTTGACATCATTTAGCACCAGCCTTTCTGACATTTCTCAGTGTCATTCTTTTTGCTCTACAGCATCGTGCTGGATATTCATCTAAAACCTTCATGGTACAACTCCACATCATCTCACAACCAATCAACACTGGAAGTTTCGGAGTGTACCGGAAAAAACCACCCACAACAGAAGATATCCTTTTCCAAAGAATCAAGAGATTTTGCGACAGAGAAAATTTGACGATTGTGCGTAAGGAAGAATGGTTATACGTCGAAGGACACTCAACTGGTCAATAAGCAACATAGATCAATGTTCAAGTTTCAGGAAAAATTCTGGAATCGCATAGGCCAAATTCTAAACTGTAGAAAATGTTTGGAGTTACATTGGGCAGATAGCAAATTTTGAAATTACTCTAGTTGAACTGTAATTTAGAAGAAAAATGCTAGAATTGTTATTAGTAAGACTTGAGATAGCAAGAAAATTCTCTCTTCTAAACCTGGACCAATCAGAATTTTACAAATTTGAGTAGAAATCCAAACCTAGTTTCTCAACGTTTTGATGTCTGCGATGACCGCGAGCGACGAAAACGGCTGTGTTAGTTTTATAGGGAGAAGACAATAGTTGGTATATAGTCCTATGGGTTCTATCTGTTTTGCCTTTGTTCAGGAGTAACATAGTAACATATTGTAATGTTTTTCCAAATGGACCGCAAATAGTCCCTCTTCTTTTGAAAAGAATTATTTTAATGAAAACAACATTACTAAATTTTATAATAATTTGTTTTTTTATTAAATTGAAAAAAAATTTAAATATTTAAACAGAATTGTCGAATTATCTCAGGGTTAAAGGCAGGTTCTGGTAATACTGTCAAGACAAACATGTGCACAACTTAAGGTGCAATCAAATTGAGATGTTGTCGACAAAATTAACAAAATATACTGATTATATAAACAAATATTCTAAATTAGTTGATTCGAAGTAATATTTATCAACTCAGATATGTTATGGTCTTAAACAACTCGTCAAATATTAAATTAATTAGGAAATTGTAATCGTAATCTCAAAATTTATATTGAACTTATCAAGAACTTCTCGTATTG